TTTTACAGGTTACACACAATTTGAGTTTTCCAGGAACATAACATGGGCAGTTATTTTACTCAAGGATGTCACAAACATCTCCCTGAGATTAAAGGTATCCCTAAAAATACCAGTCCTGTGCCCTGAAGCATGGAAACATTAGTGATTCTTTCTTTCCAGAAACATTTCAGGCATTACTAATAATAGATGGTGCTACCAGCAGCCTCGTATTTAAGTGGCCATTACTGAGGTGTAAATTTAAATGAGCTTTGTAGTAAAGCACATACCATAGCAAAATTGAGCTTTTACCACACACCTGCCAGATATGTAATAAGGCATACTCTTTGATGTTGTCCGTTACAGATTTTGCTCCTAGTTTATATTAACAAAAAAAAATTCAGATGTCTGCTCTTTATAAGGTTAGATGTATCACTTTTAGGTCTTTTGTTAGCCTTTAAAAACAAGACTCAAATTATATGGGGAAAAACATTGTCATTTATTAACAATATAGCTGACATTCATGTTGCTGCTAGAAATTACAGTATACAGTGTTTGCACATTAGAAAATATAACTATTTTAATAATCTAGCATGTAAATTGTATCAAAAACATATAAAAAACATAGAGCTAAAATATCATTAATAGTGGATGAAGGAAGATAGACGATGACAATTATGAAATAAATGGAAGAAAAGAGCATGTCAAGAGAAGGGTGGGGTATTGGGAGGAAAAGATTAAATACTTCCAATACTTTCCAAAAATTGCCTTGTTGGACTGGAAACACTGGATGGGAATTTTAGCCCTCAATGACAGTTTTTTTGCAGCCCGTGTTTTGGGATGACTTGTATCCTTAGTCCTCTGTTTTGCTTCTATTGGATATTAAGTTTTGCATTTTTAAGACTGGTTCCAAGAGCAAAGCGAGGGAGAGAAGAAGTGCAGAGTTAGTTATCAGAAACTGCACTTCCTCCCCTGCATCCTGCTCCTGGACTGTGTTGTCTGCAGCACAGACAGATAGCAGTAGAGAGCTTTCCTTTGCTTTTAGTTAGTTTTTAGCTGAGGCAGAGAAGTTCCCTGGACTGTAGTTTTTCTTTTTCTTGGAACTGTTCAAACCTGCTCTGGACGAACACCCAGAAGAGCAGCGGCTGCTCACATCTGTGGCCCAGCAGGCCGGGGCTGGGCTGCGGCATTTCCAGTGCCAGAGGGACTGATAACAAAATGGGTGAGCTGAGCTACAGCCCATCAAGAGGACTTGCTGAGTTTGTCATTGCTTCAGAGCAGCAAGAGGTTCTATTGTTTAATATTGTTCATTTTTTGTGCTGGTGAATGCTTTGCCTGTTAAATAAACAGGTTTTCTTCCACTTTTCTCCAAGGAAATCTTTTTTCCCAAATCAGTTGGGGGAGCAGCCGATTACATCTGCGTTCTAAAGGAAGCTCTTTAAAGGTTTTCTCCCAAATTTGCCCTAAACCAGGACAAATACAATTATTGTTGCCCAACAATAAAAACCTATACTGATTGCATTTTGGTTGTACTTACTCTGTATTGGAATAAAGCAATCAGTAGCCATGTTGCTTGAATTCAGGATGTCTCTCTGAGTGGAAGCCTCTATGTATTTCTGGTCCTTAGGCTTTTCTGAGGTTTTAATACCTTTCTGGTCGCTAATCTTATTTTCTTATTCAGAAATAGCTCCAGTATTGTCCCTAACACGTAGCTTTTACAGTAGAGGGGCACAGATTAGAATAACCATTTTACTGGGCTTGGTGATAGTGATTTATAGGAGTTTATAAAGGTACTGTAGTCTATTCAAGATATATATGGCTTATAGTTTCTTCATCCTACCCTTCGTCCTTATTTCCAGTAGCATGTTTTGGGGGGTTTATTAGTAATTGCACCCAGTTTGTTAGAGGAGGAGAAGGGGATGAGGCTTTCCAGCCTCTCCTTTCCTTCTTCTCCTTTGAATCTGTTAAGTCACTTTTTGAGAATGTTCAGTTTCCCCTGAATGTTAAAGAGACCACTTTCCTGGTGTTTAATCTGGTAAGCTTCCATTATATGGTCTGCAGTTTGTCTAGAATGAGGGCTGAGATGTCCAGAGGAGCTGATGAGACCCCTGACCCAGAAGTAGACCCAGGTGTGGAAAATACTGAGTGGTGTGGGAAATGGGAGGATATGGGCCAAATCCTGAAGGAATTTTCTGACCCTATAGTCTGGGACTTTCCACGTGCACAAATTCAGAACCCAGCTGAGGTGGAGAAATACCTGAAAGAGAAGTGCCATGACAACTCTAAGACCCTCAAAGCCAACTACTGACACAAAACCAGAAGTCACTATTGAGTCATTTTCCTTGAAGGACCTTTATAGCCTAAGAAAGGATTACACTCAACAATCTGATGAATCCATAATTAGTTGGTTGGTCCGTCTTTGGGATGTTGCAGGCGAGGCTACAATTCTGGATGGTAGTGAAGCGAGACATTTGGGATCCCTGTCACATGATTCTGTCATTGACCAAGGAATGATGAGGGGAGCTAACCCTCACAGCCTCTGGGCACGGGTCCTGGGAATTTTGGCACAAAGATATGTCCATGTGCAGATGATCTCTATATGCAGTAAACCCAATAGAAAACCATAGAACAAGAGATTCAACACTTGAGAGAAACGGCAGTAGCAGAGATTGTCATCTTAGAAGACCTAAACACTGTAAATCCAGACTAGGTACCATATACATCCATGATGTGGCAAAAACTTCTATGACTTGGGCCACAAGAATACGCTTCTGCTTTAGCAGTAATGAAGTGAGATGACAAAGAGAAGACTCTGTTTAGTATGGCTAAGAAGCTCCAAGCATATGCAGATGATGTGCATGGCCCAGCCCATGCCAGAATCACAGCTGTGGAAACACATCTGCAGAAATTAGAAGACAAGACAGAGGAGACTCACAAGAAACTCAGAGAAGAGATTAAAGAGGACCTTCTCCAAATCTCAGCAGTATAGATCAGAGGTTCTGGTACCAAACACAGATGTCACCCAGATGGGAAGAGAAGGTGCACCCCACAAACTGAGCTGTGGTTCTTCCTGCATAATTATGGAGAAAACATGAGAAGATAAGATGGAAAATCTACTGCTGTTCTGGCATGACAGGTGCTTGAAATGAAAGACAGCAAGAGTCAGGAAGTTCCACCAAAAAAAGCAGCTCCGGTTGCCCCTAGCCAAACTGCCAGGTGTGGGAGTTGTAATTTTTCTTCTTTCCCCCCCATTCCTTCTCCTCTCCCCCCGCCCCCCAAGCAGTTCCCTTTGTGCTGCGACCCTGCCTTCCCACTCCCCCCCGCCACACCGTCTGCTCCCTCCACCGCACTCCCACCCCACCCCGCCTTTCCCATCCCCGCCAGAGAGACCACACAACATTATGGTTTCATGCAGCAGAGAGAGCTTCCATGGCATGCACAGCTCTTATATACCCTGTTCAAAAGACTCTGTGTTTGAACCGGACTGGCTACGAATGCTAACCACCCAGTTCACTTGGTGAATAGCTACCTGCTAACCTTCACCATCAGGGGCTGGCTGGCATCTCCTTTCTGTAGCTAAACTCCTCCTCCTTTCAGGCTCACAGACCAGCTGTTTTGCCATCATAGTTCCCCCTTTCTGTTATAAAATATAAACCCCATGTTTATCATCCCTCTGTGGGGCCCCTTGCAAGAAGGACAACAAGCACGGTACAAGGAGAATTAAATTCTTCACTAAGTTCCACAAGCCTAATCTTTCTAATTATTGGTGTGCCCCATCAAAATTTTTACTGTTACGTCCAGGAGCTATCAAAGGCACAGTTTTACTGGGTGGCATGCTGCAGACTAATTACTTAAAACTTACACCTTACAACTTGAATGCGGGTTACAAACAAACCAGTTTAAAAACTATCAACACAAGAGGAAGTAAAACATAAATATGGATCTATAAAACTTCTCTTAACATATTCATAATATTTGCCTTTTAATTGTGAGAGTCAACCATTGCATTACTCATCTATCACTCTTGGGACACTTCACCAGCGTCTGCTCAGCAGATGGAGCATGTGTGCAAGAGAGGGGGACCAGAGGAGTTGAACCTCTGGGCAAGACCACACTCCTTCCAAGAAACAAAAAAAGCCAGCAGGGCAAATTGTGTCACAGTTAAATGCTTTTATGTGCTAAGGTTCCTTCCATAGCCTGGGCATTTTTTGCCAGGCATCTGGGGCTCTGTCCCACCACAAGGAGGGTTTCAGTCAGTCGGTCACTCATGTGCTTGCAGCCAGTTCATGGAAGATTTCTCTGCTCTGTTTGTCTGTCAGGCTAAGTCCCCTCAGAGATAGGGCTTCCCGCCATTTTCCAAAGGGTTTGCCTGTTTAGAGACTGTAATATCAGCAGTCTCCTTCCCCCTCACATGTCCCAGATGCCTCTTGCATGTGGCAGGTGTTAATGCTCCCCGCATGTGTACGGCCCCTTTAGTATTTTTCACCCTGATGTCTTGTGAAGGCTGACCTAGAACAGAGGCTAGATGGAGTTAAAGAATAAAGTAGGTATTTATTAAAAGGCCTCAATAGATACACCTTGGGCAGCATAAGAGCCCAGCCAGGGCTACACCCCAGGTGAACCCAAAATGGTCATAAAATGGATGACCAGTCATGGAGTCTCTCACTTTTATAAGTTCTGGTCTATTAGCATATTGTAGCTAATTGTCCAGTTACAGCTCCAGACCATGAAGTTCCATCCTCCTTGTTTTTCTCTTTTCAATCCATATTCTTTATGCTCTTAGGTCTGAGATCTGGATCTGCTGTCCTTGGTCTCAGCTAGAGAAGGAATTGTTTTGTCTACCTATTCTGTGAAGAGAGAATTATATGAAGCCCACACCCACACACTAAAGCAGCACAGAATCTGAAAAATATAAAAGCTAAAACCTGAAGCATCAACCCCATGTCAGAAAATGGATATATAACATATGTTGAGGCATAAATAAAAATTAAATTGGTTTGTCTCAGTAAACCACAAGCAAACCATGCTGTTTCAACAAACTGTTTAATTACCTGTAGTTCAAGCAAGTAGCAGGAATAACTCCAGCATAGAAACCTACAGTTTTAGTCCTTTTCCCCCTCCAGTAAAGCTGGAAGAGGCAAAATCTCCTGCAACATCCCAAATAAAGGAGTAACACCCAGAATGCAGGAGGATCCAATTACCCATGGTGATGCCTTCACAGCCTCCATTTTCTGCAGCAGGTGAGCAGGACAAGAAAAGCACACAACCAAGTAATGCCTTTCTGAAGAACAGAATTATCTGTGTCACAGCAGGGATGGCACTCCACTGAAATGTGCCAACCCATGGGCAACACACAAAGCGAGCTCCAATGTCCTTTAACATAAAATTCCTTCTGTCCTTGTTTGTCCCCTCATCCTCTATATGCCTCTGTCCTCTCAGCTCTCCTCTCACTCTTTGCTAACCACCCACAGGGAGAAAACAGCACCTACACTCAGTGATTGCAGCCACAAAAGTACTGTAGAGCTGCATCATATATTTGCTTATACGCTGCCAAGCATTACAAGTAACTTAGTTTAGCTACTAATTTCTTCATCCATCACTCAGCTGGAACTGTGTGTTTCTCCCATATGCCTGGTAAAGCAGAAGTTGGGGTGGCTAATTGGCTCAAATTTTTTGACAGAAACAGCTCACCAGGTGGGTAAAAGAATCACGGCACATTCTTCTCTGGGTTGGAATTCTTTGTCTTTGTTTTGAGTTTTTTGTGGTTTTTTTCTTTCCCAGAAAAACAGATTTTAAAAAGTAGTATCACAACATCAAAGCCTGTTGCACAGACATAAGAAATCTTGATTGAAGTATTTCACTCTGATTTTCCAAGTGCTGAGTACCAGCTTGCAGTTTGAATTATGATTTTTAGTTGCAATTGTCTTATGTTTTGAAGAAGGAAATGAAAATAAAATTGAAATTCTGTACCTACATCAACACAGGCAAAAAAGTAAACCTGAAATTGTTAGATGGACTTCATCATCTGCAGAATTTTCAGCTTTGTGAACAGCTGCCAGCAGCAACAGGCTGTCACCCTTCAGAGAGGTGAACTAGAGGGACTAAATGGCACTGGAGGGAGGTGAAAATCCTTGCCAGCTGTTTTCACAGATAACTGCTGACAGCAAAGGAGCAATGTGCAGTTTGGATAAATTCTGGAATCTTAAGCTTTGCTCTGGCCTGTGAGGTGTATTTTCAAGACCAAACCTTTCCTCTGATCTCCTTTAGTCTTGCATTATGTCTATTCTCTGCTGTGGCATTGCTCTCCTTAATGATCCATCTCAAAATTATCTTTCAACATTTTCCATGGTTCATCACAGCTTTTGTGTAGCAACTCAAAAATTCTCTTTTTGAAAGTGAAGGACAGGAAAATTTTAATTTATATGGTATTCAGACTCCATACTAACAAGACTGAGTCAACAATGGCCAGACCTCTGCGAATTGCAAAATATCACTGTTGTTACTCTAAGATATTTAAGTGCTGAAGCAGACTGTGCTGTGCTGCATGCCTTTTTTTTTTTTTTTTTTTTTTTTTTAATTAAGAAAACCTAAACAATACAAAAGCAAAAAAAGAAGAACTCTGGCATAAAGCACATCTACAGGCTGTTTTGGGATTCTCACAATTTTTTGAAAGTGAAAGGATGAAAAAACCCTACATTTTGGAAACCATAGTTTGTGATTCAGTCATTAAGGCAGCTGTTCCAGGGGGCTAACATATTTTGCCATGTACCAGAGCAGTTCCAGAGATAAAGAGCCATTCAGAAAAGCCTACCATTTGAGAAACTACTGTTAGATGCAGTTAAAATAGCTTCTTTTACTAGTAATTTGTGAAAATGAAGAAATAGAAAATTTAAGTGCATACATCCATCACAGCATTTTTAATCTACAAGATAAATATAGACTCTTATCCAACAAAATATTAGTCTAAGATTTTTATTCCAGTAGCTTGGTCTACAAAAACTGCTTTTAATCACAGAGGCTTTATCCTTTAAGCAGAAGGCTGTGGTTTGTCTTCTTGAAGCTCAGGAGCCTGCTTTTGCCTTTGCATTATTCCAGTTATTCCTAAGTAGATCCAGGAGCAACAGGCTATATCTTTGTTGGAACACTATTATAATTTGCTTTATGATGGGGGAAGGAGCATGTGTTGCTTTGTGCTGTGGGTAGGAATGTCATTAATGCTGTCGTTTCCCTTTCAACATTTTCCAAACTTCTTCTTGAAGAGAAAAGAGTCAGACACACCTTATGCAACACACTTTCTATATAAATAGTACATAATATACCTTATTTGGCTCTGGTTTAGAATCATTGCCATTCTGTGATGGCTGAAATGGGGTCTCAGATGCATGCTCATGCATGTAGCACATGAAGGTTGGGAGCACAGTGGCATTCAAACCTGTTATTCATAATAAATGTAATTTTTGTGAAGCTAATACTGAGAAAACAAGGCCATTTAGCTGTTTGGTTCTTTCTTAGTCCCTAAGAATGCCTGTCCATTTGAACACCTGTTGAATAGCCCTTCACAGGGATTTTGCTCTCTGTGTGCAAGTGGTTAGAGACAGGCTTTGCCATGGCCTAAAGGGCTTGTAATTTGTACCAGTTTGAAAGCTTCTACCAAACTTTTGTGTTGTTACACTACCAGTATATGCCACTGCCAAGACAGAGCAACACAGAAAGACCACAGCAAGCTGAACGAGATTTGGGAGGAGCAGAGCCCAGCACACCCAAGGCAGGAGCCAGCCACCACTTATAAAGTACCTATGGCTACTACCTGCAAACAGGTTTTCTTCCCGAAGCAGGAGCCTTAAAATGTTTACTCCTAGATGTTACTGTGCAAGGAGTGGTATCATCTGAAATATTTATGCAGGGGGAAAATTAGGTCATGCACAGCCAGATGTCTTATGCTTACAATCACAAATCCAAACTCAGGAGCAAACACGTTGTTATTTTCCCTGTGATCCAATTTTAAAATGCTAACATGTAGTTTTGTAATATTTTGACTTGATTTTAAAACCTTTTGTTTACATTTTAGCATGGAATGTTACAAAGGTATAACTACACACAATAGTTTGGACCAAAAGTAAGGAATCAATGTACATATCAGGACAACAATGACATAGAAGGAGTTCATATGGCATGGTTTAGTTAAGTCTACTGCTTCTCTTAGCACATGTATTTAGGACATGCTGAGTGGCTTGACTGGAAGCTACTCTCTACAGCAGAGTTGTTAGTCACAGAAGCATTTCTCTAGGCAATGCAAATCATCTCTTGCAGCACTGAATACTGGCCATAATGGCCAATGTGTGGGTGGGACAAACTGCAGAGTTTCTTTTATGTCTTCAAGGAAGAGTATGAGGTTTCACACCGGAATCAGCTGGTTGATTGCCACAAATATTTGCATTAAACTTTCCAAAGGTGTCCACTCTGCTTACTGCGGAAAAGAAAAAAAAAAAAAAAATCTGATTTAGAAGAAATAACAACAAAAGATGTTTAGCAACAGACACCACTCAGCAGATTCATTTTCTTTGCAAACATTCAAAGCACACTGTGAATTTGATTGCAGATTACCAGTTAATTAAATTACAGAGTATACACAGCACTGATGTGTAAATCACGCTTATCTGACAGCTTACAGAAACTTGCTCTGTTGCCATCACCAAAGCCTAGTTTCAAGGAATCCCTCATGTTCATCTCATCCACATTGCTCAGGCATAAGTGAATTCCCCTGCATGCTGGACTTCTACAAATAGTTACATCCTTAACTTTAAGCACAAAGTAAACCAATTATATTTGCTGAGATTACTGATACAAGTGGTTCCATAGCAGCATCAATATGGGCCCAATAGCCACACTCAGTAGAATGGCTGAACCTATTTACTCAGGCATGCTCTGAGCATTAGCTTAGGGCTTTATCTGAGGATTTAATCCATTACTACTTCCTCTATCCCTTCACCAAATAATCAATATTTAAAAAAAAAAAGTTAACTAGATAGTGATTTGATTCTCACATTAACGTTATTTTAATTTAAGTTTCTTTGCCTTGAATTCCTTAAAAAGTATAATGTTTTAATGCAAAGTCAAAATGCAGTGTGGGTCTAGATTTGTAAATTGGTCAAATGACAGCTAGTAATCTTCCAGCACCAAATAGTAAAATATTTCATAAATCATTTTCCCCCTGACAACAAGATCAAATTGAAAGTCAATAAAGAGTTCCTTTTGTAAACTTGCATTGCTATACTCATAAAAAGTTTTTTTTTTGTCAAAAAGAGTCCAAGCAGTTTAAGCAGAATTGAGTGAACCTGTACACTAGTAGGAGACGAATCTATTTTTTAATCTATTTTCAAATTGCTACATCAAAGATGTTTCCTACAGCCTGCCTTCCCTGCCACCCCACCCTTTTCAGTTACCATCTCTGCCCTCATTAATTGAGTCGGTTATAGAGGATATTTGTTGTCTAAATCAAAATCTGGAATAGCAACAATTTGTACGGTTGTCAGATGTTTAAAACAGAAAAAAAAAAATATTCCTAACCCAATTTCCTTGTCTATACCACAGCATTTATGTGTTCCAGAGCAGAAAGAATTTCTTGGTCATTTGGTTTTCTGATGTGGTACCCTCTGGTACCCTTAGCTTTCAATTTGAGTGAAAATAAAAACCTTGAGAGGCACACACTTGCAACTTTTCTGACAATAAAAAAAAATAAATAAAGCCACATGAGAAAGACACTAGCAAAATAGTAAGAATAGTATATTCAATATTTTTCATTAGCACAAATTGAAAGTGCAGAGACATTAATAATGAAAAAATTTATTTAAAATAAAATAGTTCAGGGGACTATTGTTTTATTGTATAGAACAATAATCCAGAAGTCCAGTAGCCACATATAACTGAAACCAGATATCCAAAGAACATTTTTTTGCTTGGAAGAAAGCTACAACTCTCAGATCTTTATCCAGTTTGCACGGGATTAAGATAAATCTATAAATAAATACACAGTGTGACAATTTATCTAGGATTTGCTCCCTAGCCCCTTAAAGATGCCAGCAGTGGTTCCCAATAAGTTAGAAATACTTCAATAAAGTTCTTTTTTGCTGAGAGCAGAAATAAAAATTCACCATAACAGTGCATGTGCATTTACCACATGCTGCAATTGCCACTGAGAACAAAAGATAGGTGAAGAGCAGAAAACCATATGCTGGAACTGTACTGTGTACCTTTAGGGCTCTTTAGCAACTTCTTCAGTTGTCTTCTCCTCCTCAGAAACTGCAAATGGAGACAAAACGCCAGTAAGAAACACTGGAAATTATCCAATGACAAATAGTCAAGCAAGTTGTTTCCCTTAGTCCAAAGGGTCCTTGGACTAAAGGGAAAGCTGTATTAGGTATGCAGACATTTTTCCTTTTAGCTTTTTAATTCTAATTTTAAAAGAGTTTAGAGGCCAAACTTCTAAACTCCTGCTTTAAATCTCCACAGTAATGATTTTAACACACATTTATCTTTGCATTCAATTACATCATTCAACTTCAATAGCAATATGAGATCGTTTACAGTTGCACCAAAGCACTGCAAGCTTCATTCATACCACATGCACTTATATTTTTCTTTACACCAATGCAATTCAAGAAAATTCTGTCTTTCAAATCAAGACAGATGTTGAAAAAATGTGTTATATGCAGCACAAGGAGAATTTATTGTTCTTAATGAAGTTCATATCCAGCCACTTACTGAGCAGGGCACTGAGCTCACCACACTGCCACAAGCAAATTTACTACTTCTACTGCACCACACATAATTTCAAAATTAGATTTTTCTGCTAACAATGAGATGCCAAACACAGCCATCATGGGCAGCCACAATGCATCACTTGAGTTCTGCATGCTCTTGCAGCTGGTTCAGTGCACACAGCCACCAGCATTTCACTGACACAAACATTTCAGACCTGGCTGGACTTTTGCACCCTCTGAAGTTTGCCACAACTCCTCAGCATCATTGTCCTGGCTCTTTGAGTCTGTATCAGAAATCTCTTGAGCTGCTGAGGCTATTACTACCTTGTCACTTTCTAAGTTCTCCTCATGGGCAGAAGAAGCTGCAACATTCAAGACTTTACTCACAGTTTCTATGAATCAAATCAGAAAGATAATTGTCTCCTCTTTACATTCACCATCATAAATAAGGGTGAGCAACCAAGGTGCACAAAGCATGAAGTACCTGCCCAACATAAATGCTTAAAGTAGCTGAAGACAACAGGATCTATCAGATGATTAAATTTTATCACGCAAATAAAACTTTGCAAATGGAATTCCAGGGAAAGTCTGCCTCTTTCCAACCCTGGAGCAGAAACCTGTAAACTGTAGCTATTTTCATGTATTTAGGCATAGGCAAATATTCTATAATGCATATATTATCTCTTACAGATATTGATGCTTTGTTTTCTGTTTTCTGTCAAATTCATAGGACATAACATCTACACTCTACAAAACCTTGGAAAGACACCATGGATAGTTTTAATGTAAAAATATTCTAGCATCAGGCTGCAGATTCAGGCTGCAATGGCCAACTAGCCATTTTTCCATACTCCTTTAAGCATAAAGCAATCTGTCTCTATAAAAAGCCTGTAATAGGTAATATTTAGTAATAGGCAGTCTCTATACAGATACACTCTGCAGGAAGACTGAACACATCACCCAGCAGCTGCATGTTAAATTTTACTTCAGTAAATTCTCTTGTACCCTGTTCTTCTAACCTTCCTGTCAGAGGTCTCAATCATCCCACTCTTTAACTGCTCAGTAGGAGGTTTGTCTCTTTCTTGTTTCATCCTATACCAAGCTACTTCTCTATTAAACACAGTAAGGAAACTGCTTCTTTAGGAGTTCAATAAATGCACCAAATAGGAGTTTTATAGAGCTAGCATCCCATACCTTTCCCCAAATATCACCTTACAGCTAGTTAAATACAACATATTCCGAACATCAATTATTTAACTTTACTTTTCAGAATGCTTTCTCGATTTTGAAGAAGCAACAAAAAAAAAATAAATGCTCAGGAATTGGCACTTCACCTTTATAGGAGAAAGCTATGCAATAGAAATAGTACATTTGAAATTTGGAATTTTAGATATTTTACAGCAAGCAATACTTGATGTAATGTCATATATTCACTATGGTAAAAAGCTGTTAGGTTTCAGTTTGTAACATCAAACTTTCAGCTTATATTACCAAAAGTTCTTTCTCTGGCTGATAGGACTTAATCTTTTTTTTTCTTTCTTGTGTTTTAATTTCTTTAGCACTAAGAAGAGTAGATCAGTAGGCAGCTAGAGGGAGCACCATGGTCTTTTCTGCTTTTTAACAAAACCTCATTTCCTTTGGATGGGAATTGTGTTTATTTGTCGTCTACATGAATACCTGCCTTAAAACAAAACATTAACCACTGGTACTGAAAAAATTGTCTCTGGTCTGAATTATTCCTTATGACTATCAGAAAGGCAATCTAATGCAAAAAAATATGGATTCCTCCCAAGGTGTTCATCCATGTCTCTGTGGAGTAGCTGTCACTGCCTAAAATACAAAGGGTCTTGTGGCAGGCATTGCATTTGAAAACCTGTGTCTGTAGAATGGGTGTAGCATGTTTATATACAAAACTGCCTTTGGGTAGGGTACAAATCTTGTACTTAAGTGGCTTTGCTATCCGTTCCTTGAGCACATGTGGCTGGAGCCCTGTTCCAGATGACACAGGTCTTTTGGAGAAGAGAAACATGGCAGTAGCTGGTGGTCCCAATGCACATGCTCACGGCAGCTTGCATTGGGTCACTCTCCTTCAGCCCTGATCTCCAGCAAAGTCTCAGACTGGCTGATGACGATCATCTTGGCATTTGTTCTTTGTCATATTGCATACTGTCCAAGTGTCTTCTAGTGTTTTGGATTAGGAAACAGTCTCCAGCCTTCTGATGGCTACCCCAATCATTCATTTGCCACCAGCACTAATCTTGGCCTGCTTTTTGGTGGTTTGGACACGTCTTGGAACAAACTCTCTGTATTCCATTCACAAGGCCAACACGTTTTTCTCTGTCCAAGGGAATTGCTGTGATCCCAGGGCAAAGCCAGATGAATGATGCCCTGGCTAGCTGAGAATGAACCCCTGCCAGTCTCATATTTGGGACTGTCACATGGGGTCCTTCTGCATGATAGCATCAGACATACTGGCCCTCACACCCTCTGCTACTGACCTGGTGGCACAAAGTGTTACAAAGTTTAGGCATTTCTCCTTTGTGTTTCCCTGTTTCCCAGTGCTATTCACACCCTCTTTTTTTTTTTTTTTTAAATCTGCATGCATTTCATATTTTTTCAATCCAGTTTAATCTCTTGCAATTGTTCCATGTAAAATCCTGCAGTAACACCCTATTTTATACAAGATACTTTAATCTCTGCCTGGTACAATGGGGACTCATTTTCCATAATCCTTGGATGAAGGATTTTCTGCCTGTTCAATTACTGTTAATAAGCTTGTCATGAATTCTGCAGCAAATAATGGATGTAACTGAAATCACTCCTAACTTTTGTTAGTTCAAATACTAAAATATTAAGCTTCTTTATTTTTTCAAAATATTTGTAGAGAAATTACAGCATCTTCACTTGGTTCTGTGTTGTTTCCTGAATGATGATTAGTTTGAAAATGTGAAGACCCTGCATTTCTTCATGCAGTGATGATTATGATCCATTTTGTCTATTTATGTCAGATTTCTTAGAATTTCTACAGGCTGTAAGTGAATAAAATAATCTGAATTGTGCAACTGCTTCTCTGCAATGAGGACACATGGTATTTAATATTCTTTCCATTGAATGCCCAGCTGCTTTATTATCCTCATAGAACAATACCCCTCCAGCTCCTTGACATTTTTACCAAAACACCCACTTGCACCATTCCTGCCAAATGGATCTCAGTCAAGGGATAATTCCATACTGACCTATACAATTTAAAGCCTGCCAAAAATGATTTTGTTTCCTTTCATATCCACAAAAGTGGGGCTGATTAGGCTCTTTCTTAATTCTCTGGGGGAGCTTCCCCCTGCACACATATCCTTCATCAAAAGCACTGGAGTTAGATGGCTTCACAATTTTCCTGCTTCATTTGGTGTGCTGTGTTTCCTCCCATCCTAGTAGGATATTATTCTACAGAATATACAGGATATTACTCTACAGTATATAGAAGGTATACTTCACAGTTTCATACAAGGTATTATATTAGTAGCAAAAAAATCTCAGTCTCTGTGTATATTTTTTTTCTGAAAAGTTGATTTTTTTTTTCTTACGCTTTTTCACTGGTTATTTGTCAATTTTCAGTTTTCTCCTGGGATAAGTAGCTGCATCCCAGTGTTTCTGGCTACAGCTTTCTTCAATTTTGCCAGGCATTTGTATATACCAGAGCACTTACAGGTCTGAATTAGGACCTTAACTGTCCTGTGATTTCAACAAAAGACAATATGAAAGAACTTAAAGCCTTAGAGCAATCAAACTAATCACATTTACTAACTGTAGTCAAGGGGCTTTGCATATTGCATCAACAGCTGTTGCCAAAGCACTCAGAAGGACTTGGACATACCAGGGATTGTGAGGGCAGGCATCCCCAAGGTTAGTTAGAGCCACGACATACATGCAGTACACAACCATCAGTGTATAACATCTGTGCAATATCCATTGCTGATGTGTAACAGGGAATCCCAACCAAAATACCTCCTGCTCCTGCCCAAGACAGCTACAGGCACTCCCAGGCAGTCCTTAGCTCCTCTGCTTTAGGATATAACCATTTGGAGAAGAAATTCATCCTCCCATATTGCACTTGCAGGAACAGAACGTGACTGGGCAACATTACACATGCACCTAATGCCAAACCATTTCTGTTGTGGAAACACATCTGGCTTGAGTTGAATAAATACAGAACAGGAAATTGATTTTACAGACAAAAGAAAATGGTGGATTTTTTTTGAAAGTTTTTGTTCTGTTCATTTGTTTTCCTTTTTTTTTTTTTTTTTTTTCTTTTTCCTTTTTTTTTTTTTTTTTTTTTTTTTAATAAAGCAGCAGATTTAGGAAGCTCCAGTAGCTTACTAGCACCACATCCAACATTTCAACTAGAAATATAAGTTTTAGGAAACTATCCCTATCATTTCAGTGGAAAAAAAAAAAAAAACCAAAAAAAACCCAACTGCTTTCTGTGTAAGACAGTAATTCCTGCAGTCTTTAAAGACAATTTTTACAAGTGCTGAACTTGCA